CAGATGCCGGCCCTACTGGCTGCCTTTAGGGTGCAATCACTTTGTGAGGAATCCGGCTCCTCGGTTCGTTGGCGCGGGTGAGCGTCGGAAACACATGGGGAGTTGATGGTCGGACGCGGAGGTGAGCACAAGCGTCCTCGTATCGAAGCTTCCTACAGCCCGGAATATGTACAGTACTTCATCCTACGGTACGCGGTGAGCCACTCCGAGGGTCGTAGGCGAAATGTAAGCGAGATTAGAGCATGAACGATGGGGAATGAGTGGTGGCGGTGGCACAGTAGCCGCTCCGGTACCACTCCGAGTCCGAGTACAACATAGACGGATCATGAATGAGTCTAGAGCGAGCCGAAGGCGAGTCAGAAAAGAGAACAGGAAAGGAAAAGAAAAAGAAAAGAAAATATCTATTCGTCAGGCGCTCGTGCGATGTATCCAGGCGCCTACGCATCCCTTGCACTTTGGGACTCGGACGCACGTACTCCAGCTGAGCCCGAGTACGGTGAGGTGTCAGTGCCCGGTGCCGAAACCGTAACATCCGAAACCGTAACATCACTAAGTTACCGATCGTACGTCGAAAGTATGTATACGGTTTTTGAAGAATTAGAGGATGGAGACGTCGCATTTTGGGCGGCATTGCCTCCTACCATGCCTGCCTAAAATGCACATGCGTGAGTGCTCAATCACAGTGAAAACCGGACCTGCCCGAACTAAGCTGACACCTGCCCGGAAAAGGTCTTGACAGCTGCTGTCAACGACTACACTACGGGCAGCTCTCGGTTGACTGGGGGCAGGCAATTGAAACACGGCCTTAACGCATAACCTGCCCCAACCTGCCGAGAGCAGGCGTCTTAGTCTGCGGGCAGGTCTGGGCAGCTGGGGGCAGGTCCGTAATCTGCTATAACCTGCTGTAAACTGCCGTCGATTATAATGCTACTACACTAATATACATTGCACTACTACTACGCCTCCCGGCCTCCCGCCCGCTCGTCCTCGTCCGTTCGCCCCCCATTCACTACCTGCGACACGCTCGTCGGCTGCGTTTGCATGCGGGGCACTGGCCCTACGCGCTCGCAGTCGGCGTGTGTTGTACACGCCCTGTCCACCGTCGCCGTCTCCTGTGTGTCGCTCGCGCGCGCGGCTCGTTCGTCAACCGCGCTTGCGTGCTGGGCATTTGCCCTGCGCGCTCGTGGTTGTCGTGCGTGCGTCGCCGCCCAGTTGTGGTCCCGCCCGGTTGTGGTCCCGCCCGGTTGTGTACACGCCCGCCCACCCGATTGTGTGCCTCCTCGGCCTCCCTTCCGCTTACCTGTGTGCGCGTTCGTCGACCGCGTCTGTGCACTGGACATTCGTCCTCCGCGCTCGCAGTTGGCGTGTGTTGCGCACGCCTCGGCCCTGTCCACGTCGCCGTCTTCCGTCTTTTGCTGATCCCCGCGCGATCCGTTCATCGGCCGTGCTTGCATGCTGGGCATTGGCCCTGCATGCTCGCGGTCGCCCTGTGCGTCGGCCCGTCCGCGCGCCGCTTGTTCGTCGGCCGTGCCTACACGCAGGGCATTGGCCCTGCGTGCTCGCCGTCGTCGTGCGCGTCGCGCTGCACGTCACCGCGTCCTGTGCTCGCTGTTAGCGAGCCCTTTCGCGTGTGGCTAGACTCACCTGGCTCTGGCCCTCGACCTCGCCCTCGACCTCGCCCTCGCCCATCCCCGCCAGCCGTTCATTCGTCCCCGCCGTCCGCTCGTCGTTCACGCTTGCCGTGTATTCGTCGTCCACACCTGTCGTGAGTTCGTCGCTGCGCCCAGGCCCGCGGTGTCTTCGTCGGCTAGGTTTGCGTGCGGGGCCTTTGCCGTGGGTGCTCGCCGCGCGCGTGTGCACCGTGTTGCTGTGCCTGAGGCCGTTCGCGAGTCGACCTGGCGGATGGAGGGGGGCATGCCTCAGATTCCCTGCGAGTTTGGACGCTCGCGGGGTTGCCTCTTTTGGCAATACCCGTACGAGGGCGCATTTGGCGGACACCGGGCGTGCGGGATTGCGCCGGAGTCCCGCAGCGTCTGTTCGCATCGCCAGACCTAGAACAGCGTACTCGAGAGCATCATGCAGCGGCGACAACGGGTCGAGCGCTAGGCTCCGCCAGCAGTTTTGCGGCGACGTGTCGTAGTTCTGTTTGACTCGGACTAGATCTGCACGCCAACCCAAGGGTCAGCAGATAGCTGACTAGTACCGGAAGGCATTGTACCCCACGGGCCGCGCGAAGTTGCCGTTCGCACAACCCGGACTCACCCTCAGGCTCACCCTCGCTCGCCCGTGCGGCACATGCCATCGGCTGCGGCACTACAGCCCATCCACCCCGTCGCGGGTCATGATCCTACGTCTGAAAACAAAGGAGAGCTGGTGCGACACTCTTTGTAATGTACTACTCACTCACACACTCCTGGCCGCCTGCAGCCCACCCGCCCACTCGCCCTGCGTGCGTTTGATACGATTAGAGTGATTCAAAAAGTCGGAAGGGAGTGCGTGCCTATGCACGTCGTGGAATAAGATATCGGCGGATGTCGACGTGGCGGTGTGAAGCGAAGGCCGTCTGCAGTCGGAAAGACTTGGAGTCTCTCGAGTCTGCATGGCGTCATCGGAGGTCGGGCGTGCAAGTCACGGGGTCGGGAGGTGGATGGCTCAAGGAACTGGGCGGAGCGCGGAAGGCTAACGTGGACGCGTTAACGCACAAGTGAAGAGTGTTAGCGAAGCTAAAGAGACTTACGCGTACGGCTTACGATCGAGGCGTTCATGTTAACGAGATGCGGGGTGGCATTAAAGCACTAAGGCGGACGGCCATAGCGCGTAAGCGAGCTAAGATCGTGTCTAAAGTTACAAAACGCCATTGAGAGACGCCGATAGAACCAATGCGGCAGGTGGGGGCAGCTCGGAGCAGGTGGAACACGTCAAATGGCTGTCAAGGCCTGCTCCAGGCAGGCCCTGGCTTAGTTCGGGCAGGTCCGATTTTCACTGTGGCTCAATACCCACGCAAACTCTGGCATTACGTGGAAGCCCTAGTACGTTCGCCGCGCAGCCAGACCGTCCCCGTGACTTGCTCGTTTCCCGTAAGTATCGTCCAGTTTGAGAGGATGCTACATATATGATTATTGATCAATCCACTTATTGAGCACTACAGTCTGCGACGGCCGCGACGGGGGTGGCGCGCAACTCTGAGCGACGCGACACCGTGAGGGGCGCTGAGGGACTTAGAGGCCGAACGCGCAGAGCGCGCTGACACGATGAGCCGACGCAATCGACTGTCAGCGACATCCGACGCGATCGCATCCTTATCGGGATGCATCCCGAAAAGGCAAGGAGTGGGCGGGCTTAGCATCCCCGGGCCCATCAACAGCACTGGGAAGTTGGCAACTCCCTTTTTGCTCTACGCGTCCTACACACGTTTGAAAGAACAGTGCTGTGCGGTGAGAGCACCAGTAAATGGAAATACTTCACTGCATCTAATCATGGTTCTTTACTCGCAGACCAGATATTCAGGCCTTGACGGCGGCGCCAATGAGTTGAATACACGACGCTGGCAACGCAGGTACATTCACAATCCGCGTATCTTGAACTTAATGTGTTCATGCTTTGATGGTGTAGACAAATATTCCTCTGCAACTGGCTATGCATCGATCGGCAGCTAGAGAGGCGACATCATCTCGAAGACATCCTAAGCCGGATGACACTATAAGCACACTTCAAGACGACTTGGTTCGGCGAAGAGGCGCGCTACAGGAGCAAGGTCTTTGTCTGGTATTCCAGAGCCCGCCCCATGCATTGTCTCTGCCTGCCGCCGACGTGGCGGAGGTTAAGGGCGAGTCGAGGGAAATCAACGCGGGTGCCTTCGGGCTCGAATACGACAACCCGCACAACGCGCCTCTCCTTCAGTACGAACAATGGCTCCACGAAGGCTATGTTGCACTCGAGACGCCAATGAGGAGCCAAGATATATTGGTCGCTACGCGTGCGGACGTAGTTCGGATGGACTTCTCGACAGCAATCCAGGACGTCGAGGCGTGGAGACGCGCTGAGTGGGAACGACAGCGACTAGCTGCGCGAGAGGATTTGCAGACCCAGAGACATGACCTCCCGGGAGAGAGGACGAACATCAACACAGGTTCGTGCCCAGAAGATCGTGTCCTCCAGCTGAGCTGACGCACACAACATAGATTCATACGTCTTCCCGCGCACTCTATCGTTTCACCCTTTGGTTTTACTCTGTAACCTCATCGTTGCGGTCCTCCATCTGCTCTGCGGTGTATCAATCAAACGCTGCGGGTTTTTTCTGAGTGGCTTGCAGCTACTCCTTTCATTGGCACCCACGTTCACCGATCAGCCAGACGTTGCAACTCGTAGCCCCGAATACCTCCGCATCATCTCCCATATATCACAGGACGTCCGAACGGTCATCAGCGACTTGTCTATATCACCGAGCACCAAATCCTACGTCTGCTGTCCTCAGTGTTTCGCCATCTATGCGCTTGGAGGCGGAGCAGGCTACCCGGATCGCTGCACTAAAGCAACAGTGTCTAGTGGGGATATGTGCGGCGCTGAGCTGCGCAGAACGCGCCTGATCAATGGCCGTTTGCGCTCTTTTCCTGCCCGCCAATACGTCTACCACGACTTCAAGCAGTGGTTGGCGCGCCTTGTATGTCGCCCTGGGATGGAGGAGATCATGGATCGGACACTAGTCGACGCGTTACGACAGAGACCACCAGAAGACTCGACGATTGAAGACTTCTACGACACTCAGACTCTCCGTTCCCTTGTTGATCCCGACGGAGAGAAGTTCATTCGAAGTGATACGACTGAGGGTCGATTCGTCTTCAGCATTTGCATGGACGGTTTCCTACCAAGCGGCAAGGGCAGCAATGCCTCTGTCTCCGTTGGGGCTATCTATCTCGCTTGTCTCAACCTTCCCCTGTCCCTGCGCTACAAAGAAGAGAATCTATACCTATGCGGGATTATCCCGGGTCCAAGCCACCCATCGCAAGAAGCCATTAATCCGATGTTGTCCCCCCTCGTGGATGACTTTCTCGACGCGTGGTTCCAAGGAATCCGTTTCTCCAGCACACCATGTCACATGACAGGGAGGACGGCGCGATGTATGATCTGTCCACTAGTCTCCGACTTGCTCGCAGCGAGACAGATGGCCGGGTTCTCTGGCCACGGGTCCAGCCTTTTCTGTTCGTATTGCTTTCTCAAGCTAGAAGACATCGACAATCTAGACTGGTGGACTTGGACGCTGCGTACAGGTGCCCAGCAGAGGGACGCGGCAGAACGCTGGAAGACTAGTGACGACCCGGACGAACGTGCCCGAATATATCAAGAACACGGCATTCGCTGGTCCGAGCTCATGCGCCTACCATACTGGGACCCTATAAAGTTCACAGCTATTGATCCAATGCACGCTCTTCTGCTCGGGTTGTTACATCGTCATTGCAGTATTGTGTGGGGGATGGATTCTAGGTACAAGGATGGGCTCAGTGGCCGTGCGGGCGACCCCGCAAAGAATGCGCCCACGGACGACCAGATGCGCGAAGCCCATCTCATGGCTCGGACAGGAACTGATCGGGACATTGAACGTCTTCCGAAAGAAGTATCGCGCATCTTGTGCAAGGAGCTGAATCTCCCATTCTCTGGCCGGGTGGGCAAGTTGCATGCGCGCCTCTTTGTACATGTATGTACCGCATTATCACGTCGCGGACCATGCGCTCACGCAAGTCACAGAGGAGAGCAATGGGATGGCCTGTGGATCAAACCAACATTGCTCGACAGAGCGGATTCCAGAACGCACCCACTGCAACGTGGACCGCATTGCAGGACCTCCAATTACAGGAAGTTCTCAATGTTCTGCGCTACAAGAACGCACCTTCCTTGCCCACTCACGGGCTGCCTGTCTTGGTCAAGGCATGTGTCCATACCTTTGGCGGGAAGGACACAGAGTATAGCAAGCTCAAACTCTGTGCTCTCCGCGCAAAACTGGATAGTTATGTGAGTTACCTATTGGATGCATTCTGAGAGGCAGACACTGACCAACAATTCAGAGAGCCGAACATGGTGTTCTGGGCTCCCCGAATGAGCTTTCCGAACTAGCTCGGGGGTCAGGCCCTCCTACGCAGTGGGAAATCGATTATGCAATGGCCGTCCTAGACTACGGTAACAAAAGCGAGTTGCGCAGTTTGCGCATCGCTACGCTTGTCCAAGTATGTACGGTACGACTGGGCGGAAATGCGCTAGAGTTTAGCGCGGCGAAGAAAGAGCAATTGCTGAACAAGCTTCATCATTACGTTCGTTGTTGTTTTCTTGAGCTGAAGACATGCGCTGACGATGCGGAAAGCGCGAGAAGCTCGATGTAGCGAAGCCCCCGAAGCATTCGAGCCTTCCCGCAGGCGCTGTTGATCAGTACGGCATCGCCGTTCGCGAGGCTGACCTGGTGCTTGCCGAAGATACATTTCAGCGAGGGTCGAGACCAAGTTCAAGGCTTTGCGCGCAGCGCTCCTGGCTGCTCTATGTGTATCTAAGCTGCATCTACCCAGAGCCGAAGCTGGAAGGCTGACAAAGCGCGAAGCGCTCCTGAAACTAGAGGCAGAGGTAAGTAAGACATTCATTTTGGATGTTCATGCCTAGCTGAGCTGCTATCTAGCGTTCAAAGGCTGGAATCACTGATGGCGACGGACGCCTGGTGGCGGGCCGCAATGTGCGCACCCGAGTCCTGGGTCAAGAAACCCTGCGCCTCGTTTGGGCAGAGATGCGAGATATTGTGTTACCGTCTGAAGTCTCGCGCGCACCAGGCAAAGCGGGCGCTCCAGGTCAAGGCTCGCTCTCTGCAGACGAATGGCGAACATTCTGCACCGTCAATCTCGTCATTACTCTGGGTTGGGCCTGGGGGTCCCTCCCGAGTGATCGCAGAGAGAGAAAGCTATTAGATAACTTCATGAATTTGGTAACCGTTGTCAAGCTTGCAACGGCGAGGTCGGTGACGTCACGGAGCTTATGGGAGATCCAGACGAACATGCACCGGTATCTCAAACAGCTGCTGGTGCTTTTCCCCGGGACAGTGTCAGTCCGTATCAGCATATGTGCCTGGGGCATCTCGCAACCGTTTTCGAGACCTTGGGACCTGCACCGCCATTTGGTGCTTTGTCTTTGAGCGTGCCAACTTCATTCTGCAAAGGATCAAGACAAATAGCCGCATAGGTATGTACATGTCTGCTTCAAACTTCACATTTAATTCTCGTCGTAGATGATCTTTCCGCCACTCTGCTGAACCGCTTCTGCACCCGGCAAAACTTACGAGCGCTCTTCTCCCGCTTGGCGCTACCCCAAATGCTTCGAGGCATCATACCCACATTCGTAAAAACATTCGAGTCTGACATCAGAGGAACTCTTAACAGTATTCTCTCCGAGTCCTTGAACCAGAGGCCAACGAGAACGTCGAGGGAGACGAAGACGATACAAGAAGGGTACATAAGCTGTACACTCTGACACAGGAAGTCTTCGATGCTCTGCGCACGCGCCTAGACCAGCCAAGTCGCCGCGCAATTCCGCTCAAGGTCATGGAGCTACGGGGAGCTCGGTACAAGCCCATGGCGGCAGC